CAGAAGATTTTTGTGGAGACACTATTTTTGTAAAGAAGATACTTTTGCAGTAAAGATATTTTTGGAGAGATTATACTTTTGCAAAAAAGATAGAGTAACAAAATAAATTCGGTTGAATTGGAGCTTAGACTTGGTGCTCTTTTTACCATTTTTTAAAAAGGTAAGTTTTTTAGGTATCACAAACGCGATTATACGATTTTCATTATGATTATATGGTGCCCTTATATCGCGGTGTGTGTAAGGTAATGTACACAGATACGGACAGTCTGATTTATTTCGTCGAATGTGACGATATTTATGAGGATATGAAACGCTCCATTGAAAGATTCGACACGAGCGACTATGCCGAGAACAACGCGTACGGTATGCCGCGCGCGAACAAGAGCGTTCCAGGTCTGATGAAGGATGAGAATCATGGCGCGATTATGATAGAATTCGTAGGTTTGAGAGCGAAGATGTATGCCGTGAGAGTGCTCGGAATGAGCGACACGAAAAAGATAAAGGGTGTAAAGAGAAACGTAGTCGAGAGAACGATAACGTTCGACGATTTCATGCAATGTTTGCGCGATATGACGGAGCAGTCGAGATCGCAATTCTGTGTGCGGTCGAGACTGCATGAGGTGTACACCGTTTCCGAAACGAAACTCGCTCTCAGTCCTCACGATGACAAGCGATACGTCATGCTTGAATCCTACGATACTTTGCCTTGGGGACATTACAGGGTGCCATAATAATAATACATATAAACAAATTTATACCTTTATTGTATACATGTGTACAAACAATAAAAGCTTTTTGTTATAATACATCTGTTTTGTGTATCCATGAATTGTGTGAATTACCCATTCCTAGCCACTTTACGTATACCTCATTACCCTTTCTACGTAGAACCTTTTCCACTAGATAAACGTCGGGATTGGCGACTCGTGACAATTCATGCTCGTAGAAACCCCCAGCTATTGGTTGTCCGCGATAATCTTTCAATAGATACTTCACAGGATTAGTCTGTTGTACTTTGGCGATGCGAAATATTTCTGTAGTCCAGTTGGGTGTGTGTAGCCTTTTTCGAATATCGTTTTGAATTTGCTCACGCGTACCGTGTCATCGATCTTGAATCTTCCTGGAGCGGCTATCTTCGTTCGACTGTACACCGTTGACGAGAGTCTCTCAGCAGCCTCAGGTGTCACGTCTACAGGTCGCATACGGATCGTTCGATGTATGCGACGATTGTACCTCGATAGCAGATTTGACAGTTCGTTGATCCATACGTATGATCCGTTGAGTGTAAACATTTTCCACATGTCATTCTTGAGTGTGCGATTGAATCGTTTCACTACCGAGGCCTTCATCACCGAATACGTAGAGTAATGGTTGATGCGACGTTTTTGTAACACTTCTCGCACGTCAGCGTTGTAGAACTCCTTCCCCTGGTCCGTTTGCAAATTTTTCGGACATCGCGCGCTCTCGCGAAAAAGTTTAGAGAGGGTCACGGCCACTTCCTTTCCACCTTTGCTCTTGAGCGGCAAAGCCCACGCGTATTTGCTTAACACATCGATGACTGTCAGTATGTAGTTGTGACTTATTGAATCGCGAGTACGGTCGCATTTCCACCACATCAGCCTGCCACAGATCGTCGTATCCTCGCACTATGACACGTCGTCGTGGAAAGTTCTTCCGCGCCGGGGCGTGCAGCTCCTCCACGAGTCTTCGTTTTTCGACGCTCATCGTCCTCTTTTTTTATTCAGAGTTTAAAAGAGCGAGAACTTCTTGTAATCGAGGATGTTCTCCATGCTTATTGTTATTTTGCAACGCTGCTATCAACTCTTTCACAGCGGTCTGCAGAATAAGGAATTGTTTGTTGTGTAAGCCAATATGAGTTTTCAGATTCGATGCCGTGTTAGTAACATCGACGACGGCCATATTTATGTCGAGCGTTCCTTTGTCAAATTCTTTCGCCGAGTGTTTGTTGCAACGTTTGCAACTTCGTTTCTTGCGCGTCCACGAGTATCCTGTTATTCGCCATGAGCATCACGTTTTGCCCTATCAGGTCATACAACTCCTGTAGTCTACGTTCATGCTTATTCATTGTAGACTGGTTGCTCTCGAGCGTTGTCTTTGCGTTCTCTTCCAAATCGTGCAGCTGACCCTCCAATCGATGTGAAAGCACGTGAATCGCAGTATCCACATAGTTTTTACTTGTCGCGTCGTTCTCGTCATGAGGTTCACCTGTACGTCGTATCTTACGCGAGCGTCCGTCGTAGTCACCAGTGTTTAGATTCAACGTATTTTCGAGCACGTACCTCCGCAAGGATGCGATTGACGAACGTGTTTCGTTCAATGCAATTCCATCGTTTTCATGTCTCTCCAGAGACATGCCAAACTTGTTGACATACATGACGTCTTCGGTGTGTGAACCGTACTGCTGACACGATTGATGAAACCAGGTTAATTTATAATGAATCCAGCCTCGCGAAGCTCCTTGATTATCGATAGAACTTCGTTGTCGTGAGCGTTGTTGCCAGCGAGACGAGAAGAATCGAGCAATCGAAGACGATCTGTCAATTCGTTGGGATCGTCCCAGTGAACGTAATCTACTTTGTTATCGGTTACTCTCATGGTTGACGGGACGCGGGTCGCACCCGCGCCTTTTTTCTTATCACCGCGAATGAGCGGACCGATAATCGTACTGTACTTGTAACCCTTGTTACCCATGATCGGCATACTCGCGCTGCGACCGCGTCTGTGAGCATTTGTCGTCAGCAGTATACTCTTATACGTTTGCAAATCGTTTTTGGTGTAGGCAAGATCGTCGGGGAGTCGTTTGAAAATCAATTCGTACAGACCGGGAGTACCGACGTACCTCGTTCCAACGATGATCATCGAATCGTCCTTGTCCACGTCGAATCGCTCGTCACCGAGTTTCGCCCCATCCTCGCTGACGTACACACCGTAAACGTGATCGTTCGCATTCTTGTTCTCTCCACTGAGAAGATCGCCTATGTATTTTTGTCCCAACGGTCCCAATTGACTATGCAACATATCATGACCTTGCTCCGTTTGCAGAGTCTCTCTCGCGGACGTTTCGAGCGAGATCGGCGCCTCATCCGTCTCGTACACCCCTTCCCGTTCCACGTATGGGACTAACGTAACCTTTTCTAACGGTGTAACAGTCGTTCGCGGTTCTCTCGGTGTAGATCTAATCACCTTGCGCGATTCTATTGGTGTGGAACCGATTGTGAGTGAGGCTGCGGTCTCGATAGGTCGTTGTTTTTTTGTTTTCACCTATAATGATTCGTCTGGAGTTGTCGCTTTGAAAACATCGTCGTCGTCGTCGTCGTCGTCATTATCGTAGGTGCTCTCCTTGCGTGCTGTTTTCGCGAGAACGGCTCCATTGGATGAGTTTTCGACACGTTCGGCGATGCGTTTCAACGGTTCGACTATCGGCTTGAAATGTCTCTCCAGAGCGATCTCCTCCTTCAGGTTACCAGTTTTCAGAGCGCGATGTTTCTTACGAATCGACGCGCGCGTTTTAGCGATATCTTCTACAGTTCTCTCCTGCTCGGCGGTACTCATCGTTCTGGTTGGTCTACAGTACGACGAAGTCGTTAAATCCACGTCTGTATCTACCATTTCGCAGTGTGCTGTCCTTATCTATAACCACAAAGCCGTACTTTCGACGCCAACTTTCGTGACACAGCGCGCGACAGTTCTCGTACGACATGTCGGTGTTCACGTGATCATTGTATACGTGTTTCATATTGGTTTCATCCTGTCGAAACAGGATCAACAGATTTGCGTTGTCACGTATTAAATGTTTCGGTATCTTGGCATATGTCTGACAGAAATAGAAACAATCGATTTTCGAGTGTCGACCCATGGAAAAGTACTCTCTAATTGTATCCTGCTTATCGCAGACTACGTCGTCGAATATAAATATCGATTCGGAAAGCGCCTCGTCGGGGGGTATGACATCACTATTATTCGAGAACGCGTGATAGCCGATCTCTTCTATCGAATCGAACAAACGTTCGAGGTATCGATACTTGGGTTGATGCAGAGATTTCGAGTACACATACACGTTTGAAAAACGTATGCCGTGTAGACTTTCCAATAGACTTATCAACACGTTAATCTTACCGCAGTTATCTGGTCCACAGATAATGCAGCGTATTGTGTTGGGTAATAAGGGGCCGTTTCTACGTGTATCACTAACGTCCGACATCGTTCGTGTTCTGCGATCAAGATTGCGCACCCCAATCATCGGTAATCGTGGCACGAATCGCATTTTGCCACGTGTAATGCGCGCTTGCGCGCCGATTCGTTCTATTTATACAGGACCGATTCGTCGGTTCGCGCAGTCGTCAATATGTTTCTCGCACTGTTGGATAGGCGCGATATTCTCGAGTGGTCTCCCGAACAGTTACGTTTTCTGTCAAAACACATTCTGCTGCGCTACTTCGGCACCTATGTAGACCAGTTGTGGGATAAATTGGACGTTACTCTGAAAACTGACCCCGAGGTGCAACGGTATCGCACGTGTCTCGAGCATTACAACCAACCTTGGCAGAGAACGCACATTGACGGTCCACCGCCGCTCGTTAAGGATTGCGTTCAATATCAAAGCAAGCGAAACGAATAGGCGCCAGTCTGTTGAACAGTGCGATAAACGCGCTTCCTTTCGAACTACACGTGCCCGGTTATCAATTTTGCGGACCTGGAACTCGTCTCGCCGAACGATTGCAGCGCGGTGAGCGAGGGGTGAATCTATTGGACGCGGCGTGCCGCGAGCACGACATTGCGTACTCGCTAAGCGGTAAACTCGTCGATCGTCACGACGCCGATCGAGTCCTCGCTGAGAAAGCGCGCGATCGTATTACAGTGAAAGACGCGACCCTTGGCGAGAGAACCGCGGCGACCGCCGTATGGGCCGCTATGAAGGTAAAAACGAAATTGGGAATGGGTATGAAGAGAGGAAGGAAAACGAGGGGGAGGAAGAGGACGAAGAGAACATTGCCAACGGCGAAACGCGGAGGCTTATTGCCCATTCTACCAATTTTGGGAGTACTTGGTTCCTTGATTGGTGGAGCCGCCGGTGTAGCAAAAGCGGTGAACGACAATAAAGCCGCGCGACGTCAGTTAGAGGAGTTGCAACGTCACAATGGGACGATGGAGGGTCGCGGATTGCATCTCGCACCGTACAAAAAACATGGAGGTGGTGGACAAAGAAGCGGTAAGAGTGGGAAAAGTAAAAAAAAACGTGGACGGAGACGCTAGAGGTGCTCAATTTACCGATGTTTGACGTCACGACGAGCGGACAATTGAATCGAGCGGCGCGTAAACTACGCATACCACACTTTAGAGGGGTGTTCATGCGTGACGATTTACCCGTAAAAGCGCGACGTCAGGAGTGTGGCATCGTAAATCTCGACGACAA